GACCTTGGGTGGGGAATGACTGCTTAATCAACCTCATGTCCTTGCTTGCACTTCTACACAGAGACTCTCTTGGGAAGGTCCATAGGATTCTAGAGCTAGTGCGATGGGGCAGTATAAACTGATGCTCTTGGCCACCTTTCCCATATGGGGAAGGAGTGGGCTGCAGCATTTGGCTTGCAACAGCATTGTGTACTTGTGGTCCAAAATACAAATTGTGCTAGCTCCCTGCCTGAATATTTGAGAAATTAATATTAAGTCCTACCCTGGTGCATTGGGCCTGACTGCATTTGATGAATTGGAGTCAGTGATGGCAAAACATAATTGCTCATAATTATGACAAATCATGTGCAATGCTCACGCTGTGAACCACGAAGCTTTTGTCCACTACCGCTTACCCAGCTGCTTAAAAAACTCTCCTGTTAAAGCGCATGAAGCTTGGAAACAGCCTTCAGGATCTGGCTGTTCGCATTTTGTTGAAGGCACTGAAAAAAATTTGGTCTGTTTGAAGAACTTGCTTCTATTCCCTGGAGTTTCTCCTGATGTGGGGGAGCAGGAGCTGGACTGCAGGACAGGGGATGGCTCAGCAGTACAGCAAGATGAAAGCAAGGATGCCTATTAAAAGGAAGGCTGCTCTTGATCTGTGTCCCTGATAAAAACCCCTAGTGATGTTCATCCTTTCAGTAACAGCTGCAGGCATGTCGTTTCCCCTCTTTCTGTATTACTGGACAATCTGTTTTCCTGATTTTTTGGCTTGGCACTTTCTGCGATAAGAAATGGTTTCTTAGAATCATAGAATGTATTCTTGTATCTATCAGAAGTGTTTGTTTCAGTAGATGCTAAAAAAGTGTGCATGCATGAGAGAGCAGTCTATATTCTTACTTCACCTTGCATGAGCACAAAATTGCACGCACAAGAAGTAACTGCTGGGATGAATTGCCTTTGTTTTCTGCGTACTGTATTTGGTTTATGGTCAGTGCTGTCAGCATGTGGCAGTCATGTTTACAGAGCACTGCTGAGTCAAATATCCTAGCTGGATATTTTAAAATGTTGGATACCTTCATAGCCACAGGCATTTGGAGCTGTAATTGCTCAGATAAGAGTGCCGCAGTTTGTGGGGTAGAGAATTTGACCCTCCCTTCCAAGTACCGTGCTGCACGTCTTGGCTAGGCACGCTGTCTGCCCTCGTTGAGGGGAGTCCCAAACCAATGTTGAGTATAAACCCTCACTGCAGTAGGTGGGATCCGCTGGCACACCATCACAAGCCAAGTTCTCAGTAAATACTCTTCCCTTCTTTTCTACCTTTTAGTGTCAAGATGGTGCTGATGTGGACCAGTGGGGACACGTTCAAGACTGTTTACTTCATCTTGAATCAGGCCCCTTTCCAGTTCTCCATCTGTGGACTCCTGCAGGTTTTTGTGGACATCGCTATCCTGTTGCAGGTTTATTTGTACAGTTACTACCCTCAGAAGCCTGTCCCCCACACTGCACACCCAGCCAGCACCAAGGCCCTGTGAGGCACTTAGCTGGACAGGTTGCAGGTCAACGGCACTGTGGAGTCAGCCATGGCAGCTTCTCTTCTGCTTGTAAATACTCCTGTGTTGCTGAGTTGAAAGTAGAAATGAGAACAAGGACTGAAAATCTGGCTGCACTTCCAGCTTGGGAGGTTTTATTTTAAATCACTTGCTCGCTCTGTTTTCAGACTTAGCTGTAAAGAACTGTTTCTTGGTGGGGGGAGGGGCACTTTATTTTTGCATATGTACCTATGAGCCTTATAATTCACAAATGTTTGTATATTTAATCACAAGGGCTGGATGGTTTGTGTTTTTAATGCTATTTAAAAACGTTACACCACAGAAATTATAGGGTATTTTGTCTGAAACTTTTACCTATTTATATAATATAAAGTCTGTATATTGGCAGGAAGTTTGTGGCATACGCTAGCATTCAGTATTTCCAAGATGTAGGAAGAAGTATTGAAGAGCAAATGCAAGAGCTTTTTCTTTTAAGGAGGGTGTCTGGTGAGTAGAGAAGGTTGAGGGAGGGGGGCCCTGCAAAGAGGTGAGCAGCCTGAAATGAACCAGTTACACACAGCGTAAAGCATCAGTGCGCTACAGAGTGAATGGCAAAGCATTCACCCCCGCCACGGGATCAGTGTGGCAGGGGGGGGGGGGGCAACAGGGGGGGCAGGGATCAGTGTGGCAGGCGGACACGTCAAAGACGTGATGAAGGGGGTCTGAGTATGGATGATGCTGGAGCCACATTTAGAGTAGGCACAGCCAGTCAAAGCGGTCAGCCAGGAGGAGGAGCTAACAGGAGACTGCAGGTAACTTAGGTAGCCCTGCTTCAAAATGATGCGGTTTGGGAACAGCCTACCCTGTACTCAGGGGGCAGCACTGCTCCTGCAGCTGTGCACAGGACAGAGCTGGGCTGCAGGACATCTTTCACAAACCAAGGGGCCAGCAGATGTGTGTTGCCAGTATTGCCAGGCAAGTATTTCTAGATGGCAACTGAGCCACAAAGGTAGAAGCAACTCTGCTTCCATTGCCTCAGAAGGGAAAGTGAAAAAGCTTGAGGCAGAGAAAAAGCCGTATCCTATGGAGTAGGACTGGCACCTGACAGCTTGACTTGTTGAGGCTGAGATTCATGTTCATGTTGTTTAATGCCAAACAAGAACCAGTTTATGTTTTGGGGTGTTTCTTACATTGACCCAACAAGGAAGGAGACTACGTTTTCCTTTTTCTGTTACTTAAGATCTTCTAGGCTCTTAGAAAAATCAGCAGCTTGTGCTTAGACAGAGGGACTGAGAAAGCTAAAAGAGCAGAGAGTTTATTTATAAATGTAGATGTTGTCTATAATGGCTGTTTGCCAGCGTAGGTCACCATGCTCCTGAGAGCTGCACGTGTCTAGCAGCTGCAGGTGCTGTGGACCCGCAGGGGGCTGTGACCAAGCCCTTGGGCTTCTGCCAGGTGCCGTCATGAAACCGCCCCAGTTGGTATGAGGCAGCCATAGGAAGATGCTTAGTCCCAGGAACAGCTATGTCTCTGCTGCTTTCTTCTTCATGAGGCTCCCTCCCTGCTGCTGCGTGAATCCCATCTGACCGCAAGCCAAGGTGTTGGAGCTGGGACAGATTTTTGAGAATTATTTTTTTTTTCCCCAATATTGGCCTAAAAGCTTATGTTTTCTTACTGATGGCAGCAAGTTTGAGGTTTAGTAACTCAAGTGTGTAAATCAGATACTTCCCCTACCCTGTTTTATTTGGGAACCTCATGATTTGAGCCTGGACTGTCCTCATAGGCAGCAAACTGTCCTCCAGAGGGGAAGCGTCAGCAGGCTGCAGCAGTGGTTACATGACGCTTGGTTGGGAATGTCCGTCTTAAAGACAGGGAAGGGTGGGCTGTCCCTGTGCTGCTTTACAGTCTGGTGCCCCTCTCAGTCCCCGGATGGCCCCAGGCTGACAATGGGGCTTCCACTGCACGTGCTGTTTGGTTTTGGAGCTGACACATTGGTGGCGGAGGGCTGGGGCCCAAACCTGTGGGCAGAAGTCCTGCCCTGGCGCCGAGCTGTCCTGCCCTTCGGTGGGGACGCTGCTAGGGGCGGAAAGAAGGGCGTCTGCGGGGCATCCCTCCTGCCCCGGCAGATGCAGTTGGATCTGCATGTGTGAAGCGGAGCTGAGGAGACCTGCTGTTTCCAAGGTCTGGGCACAGAATGCTCCGCCTGGGCACTGACTCCATGCTCTTTGTTTGATACCATACTCTTTCAGGCCTGAAGTGACCTTACAAAGACTATGTACCCGGCATGGCAGACTATGAATGTTTTGTTCCTCTCTTTTTCTCCAATGTTCTGGTTGTGTTACAGGAACATCTGGGCTTTTGTCTTTTTTAATTGAAAACTTACTTAACAACTGGCTTCTCCGGTGTGCTGCTTTAATGAGGATTGTATTTCTACTGTATGCAAACACTTTCTTGTGTGTTTTAATGGTCTGAAGTTTTTCTTTTAATAACTTGTAATAAGATTTTTGTATATGGTGGTCTTTTTCTAATATTCTATGACACGGGGATATAAGAAATAAATGGCTCTTAAGAAATATACTTCTGTATGTTACAGCTTCACCTGGGAGTGCACACTTTTGGCCACCTTTTGGCTTTGAACTACAGGTATTATTGAGGATAAAACAATTGTTGTTTTTTTTTCCTTTTGGGACATTTCCCTGGGCAGATCCTTGAGTGTGTCATCAGTACCCCAACCAGCAAGCTTGCAGACCAGTCTCATTCACGCCAGAGTTGCAAATGCTGGAAGAGAAGCCAGTGAAACCATGTCTAAAGTCATCTTCTGTATGTGGCATTTAGCAAGGCAGGACTCTTGGCCAGGAACTCTTGAATTTCACCTTGCAAGATACTTTAGGGACAAAATGTTACAGAAACTTTGTTCTTTAATTGTCAGGAAGTATCTGTGTCAATGATCACCTCAGAGAATAAGAAATCAATTACTTTAAATACATCTCTCTGAATGTATGGTACATTTCATGGAGTTTTTCTCTTGTCAGTTGCAATGGTTTTTTTTTTTTTTTAATAAAAATTACCTATTATATATAAATTACAGTGTTGCTTTGTTTTGTTCAGATATAAGATGCCTGCTTCTTAATTCTTATTACAAATCATCTTGTCTAGAGGATTGTCTGTAGGAATAGTTAGCGTGCTTTTTCCTCCTGATGGGTGGGTAAGCACAAAGGCATAAATTGTCCTGACTTCATGATGCATGACGGGGATTCTGGATTTCTGTCCCCTGCTTTTCCATACATCCTGGGGTAAACTTACCCTCATAACTCTTTTTGTGCTTGTGATGCTCACAGTAAAGCCAAATTACTAACAGATTCTCATTATGTAGCTTTAAAAAACCCCTTGTATCATGCAAACTGCATGATGAGGTCAAAGACGGGACACAGCTGAGGGACATGCTCCATGCAGCCTCTGCACAGATGAGGAAACCGAGCGCGTCATTGGATGGTCAACCGCTGTGCCAAGAGGAGTCCTGACCTCCCTCCCTGTTGAATCAGGATGTGAAAACAAGCCAGGACAGTCAGGATCAGCCTTGTGGCCGATGTGTGGCTCCAGGGTGCTGCCGGGCTGCTGCTGGAGGCTGTCTGGCTGCCCCGGCATGGGGAGATGGTTTGCTGTTGCTGCATGCGGTGGCTGCGGAAGCTGGAGCAGGGGAGCCGGTGAGGAGAGCAAGTTGGGGGCACAGGACAGAGGGTCGGGAAGGGCAGGAGGAGAGGGGTGCGAGAGACTGAGCTTGCTCAAATAAGGGCCTGAGGGGAGGGAATGAAGGAAACCAAGACCTGGAAGGGCAAAGGTAGGTAAATGGGTGAAGTGGGGTAAAAGGAGGAAAATCAGGGTGGGGAGTAAAATCTGCCTGCTCTGTTACAGTCTGCAGGCAGTGGAGACCAGGGAGGGCAAGAGCCCAAGCATCCCCCACAACGGCTGAGTCTGCTCACTGCTCCTAGGGGTTGTACCATCTGTCCCAAATAGTACTGGTGCTACTGGCTGCTCGTCTGGCACTCACTGAGGGGAAGCTAATGGTGGGACTGGCCCTAAATGAAACAATGGAGAGCCCCCTCAGTAAACGGGAGCCCTCACAGCCACCTCTGGATGCCACAGCAGCTGGAGCAGCAGCAGCCTCCTTGTCCTGCTGGCTGGTGCAGCGCTGGCGCTGGCCGCAGGGCAAAGCCCTCCCTCGGCTGGGCAGGGCAGGCAGTGCCCTGTGCTGCGGCTCTGTAGAGAGATTTTATGGGTAGATGTTCAGGTGCATGTACCTACGTATGTATTCAGATGCAATTAAAGACATTTTAAGGCAAAGCTCAAATTTGGCACGGTGTAGTAAAGTGAAAGTTGGCCTGCAGGATGCTGTTTGTTAAATTTAGTTGTGATCCTTAGCTTAGGCTTGAGTGCCAAGAAGGCTTCAAGGACCTGACTGACAGCTGTAGCTTTGTTGGCCTCTTTCTGTGACAGAAAGAAGACATTAATATGTAAGTCAACAACATGCCAATAAATAAACACACTGCCTGGATACCTGTGCCAACAGCAGTAAATAAGAGACACGGACTAGAACAAAATGTGAGGCACACCCTGGAGCAGGGGCAGGTTGCCCTGTAAATAGCCTTGTAAAGCAGCCAGGTCCCAGGCGGACGTCAGCATCTGGAAATGCCCCGAGAGCAAATACAGACTTAGGACTTCAGACCCCATCCTGCCCCTTCCGTGTCCCAGTTTACATGGATTTGCCTCTTGTAGGTGCTGGCCTATCTGTGCTGGGAGACCGAGGGGCTTTGCTCAGCCTCAGTTGGGCCAGCAGAACCATGCTGGATTTCTCTGCCCATCAGCCCCTCCATCTGCCTCGTTCCTCTTCCACCCCAAGGCTTCATACCCTTCTAAGGCTGTAGCTTGTAGGTGCCAAGCCCTGTGAGAGCCAAGGACACTTTACCCCCATGAAGCACCTGCTGTGAGGCTGCTACAGACCATGCCTGTCCTGGCTTCATCAGTGTGAGACAGCAGCCTCTGTCTAGCTTACTGCTGAGGGGATGATACCAGCGTCCTGTTTTTCTTACGCTGTGTGCTTTTTCTTGGTTGAGGTTGACGTGAGGTAGGGGATGGCTATGCATGTGTGCCTTATGAGCAGAAGGAGTTGCATTAGACTTTGTGCTATTTCCTCTAGCTGTTCCTTCACCAGTTACTGCATCCTTAGCTCTCAAACACAGTTACGGTTTTCAGATGATTACTGTTGCCAACTGCTGGAATTTGTATGTCCAGGCCCACAGGTGCTGCCACCGAGGTGGCCACGTAGAAGAGGTGGCTTTGCTCACATGCATTGTGAGTCTCTGTCCCATAGGAGACAAGAATTTTTTTTTTCCCCCCTCCTTGGTGCAAACCCAACGTGCTACAGCCATGAAGCACTAGACTGTTTCAAAGAAACATCTATAACTACCCGCTGGCACCGGCATGCATGCAGACAGCAGATAGCATTTATTATAGTTAGAGATAAATGGCCTTAAATCCTGTGTGCGCTATGTCAAAGAAAAAAAACCACCACCAACACACAATAACAAAACCAACAGTTCTTCAGTGGCTGATCAAAACTAATAAGCATCACCCATAACAACAGCTACTCT